TGAGAGGCCGAGGTGAGAGGACTGCCTGAGCTCAGGGATTCAAGACTAGCGTGGGCAACTTGGTAAGACCTCGTCTCTACAATAAATCAAAAAATAAGCCAGGTATGGTAGTATGTACCTACAGTTCCAGCTACTCGGAAGAATCGCCTGAGCTCAGCAGGTCGAGGCTATGGTAGTCATGAGTGTGCCATTGCACTCCGGCCTGGGCAACAGAGTGAGACTCCAACTCAAAAAAAAAAAAAAAAAGCCTTGAAGGAACCAAATGGATTATAAGTAACTTCATTGCATCCCAGAACAAAGCCCAACAATATGTAAAAGAACACAAGCCAGGTGTGGTAGTGAGGGCCTGTAGTCCCGGCTACTAAGGAGGCTAATACAGGAGGATTACTTGAGCCCTCGAGTTCAAGGCTGCAGTGAGCTATGATGTACCACTGCACTCCAGTCTGGGTGACAGAGTAAGACTATGCCTCTAAAAAATAAATAGAATACAAAGCCAGGCACAGTGGTGCAAACCTGTAGTTCCAGCTACCCAGGAGACTGAGGTGGGAGGTTAGCTTGAACCCAGGAGTTCAAGGCTATGGTGTACTATGATAGTACCTGTGAACAACCACTGCACTCTAGGCCCAAACATTATAGCAAGACCCTGACTCTAAAAAATAACAATAACAAATAATAAATTCATTAAATAAAGAATACAGGCAGGGCGTGGTGGCTCAAGCCTGTAGTCCCAGCACTTTGGGAAGCCAAGGTGAGAGGATTGCCTGAGCCTAGGGGTTCGAGACCAGCCTGGGCAATTTGGTGAGACCTCATCTCTACAATAAATAAAAAAACTAGCCAGGCGTGGTAGCACCCATCTATAGTTCCAGCTACTTGGAAGGCTGAGGTGGAAGGATCACCTGAGCCCAGCGGGTCGAGGCTGCAGTGGCCATAAGCATGCCACTGTCCTCCAGCCTAGGCAATAGAGTGAGACTCTGACTCAAAAAAAGAGAATACAACAAAATCCAACATCCAACAACGTAAAATCCACAATGTCTAACACCTAGTAAGAAATTGCCAGGTATGCAAAGAAGCAGGAAAACATGATCCATAACCAGAAGAAAATTCAGTCAACAGAAACAGATTCAGAATGACACAGATGATAGAACTAGCAGATGTTAAGTGACTATTATGAACATACTCCATATGTTCAAGAAGAGAAATAATAAACATGAGAGAAATGGAAGATATACAAAAGATCCAAATTAAACTTCGAGATGAAACACAATATCTGAAATGAAAAATACACTGGATGAGATTAACAGCAGATTTGATATTACAGAAATAAAGACTAGTGAACTTGAAGATACAGTAATGTAAACTACACAAAATGAAATGGGGGGAAAGGACAAAAAATTAAGGGTGCATTAATGGCCTGCAGGACAATAGCTAGTAGCCTAATATATATGTAATGGGAGTCACGGGGGGAAAAAAAAGAAGAACCATTCTTCTTTTGAACTATTTGAAGAAATAATTGCCTAAAACTTTCCAAATTTGATGACAATGATAAACCCCAGCACTTTGGGAGGCTGAGGCAAGAGGATTGCTTGAACCCAGGAGCTCGAGACTAGCCTAGGCAACATAATGAGACCTCATCTCCACAAAAAATAAAAAACTTAAACTTAGCCAGGTGTGGTGGCATGCCCCTGTAGTCCCAGCTACTGGGGAGGCTGAGGTGGAAGGATCACCTGAGTCCAGGAGTCTGAGGTTGCAGTGAGCCACGATCATGCCGCTGTAGTCCAACCTGTGTGACAAAGTGAGACCTGACTTGTAGCTCAATAACCCCAAACATATCAAAATCTTTTTTTTTTTTTTTGAGTCAGAGTTTCACTCTGTCACCCAGGTGGGAGTGTAGTGGCACAATTATGGTTCATGTCAGCTTAATTTCCTAGGCTCAGGCTATCCTTCTGCGTCAGCCACCTGAGTAGCTAAGACTACCATGCCACCACACCCAGCTAATTTTTTTTTATTTCTTATAGAGATGAGGTCTCACTGTGTTGCCCAGGCTGGTCTCAAACTCTTGGACTCAAGCAATCCTCTCGCTTTGGCCTCCCAAAGTGCTTGGATTACAGGCTTGAGCCATCGTGCCTGGCAATAATCATTTTTAAAGCAGCCAGAAGAAAAATCACAGAAAAAAACATAAGGTCTACAGTCATAACACCCTGAATGTGCCCAATCTGGTGTGAGCTCGGAAGCTAAGCAGGGTCAGGCCTGGTTAGTACTTGGATGGAAGAGAAACATAAGGATGTCAGCAGACCTTGCATGAGTAATCATCTTTAAAGTACCGAAAGAAGAAAAGCTGTGAACCAACAGCATGTTGTACATGATAAACATGTACCATTTTGTCAAAAAAATTAAATAATTTTTGAAAACTGTGAACCTAGAATTCTATACTTAGCAAAAATATCTTCCCCCAAAATAAAGGCAAAATACTTTTCAGACAAACAAAAGTGGAAAGTACTCATCACCAATGAATCTGCATTACAAGAAATATGAAAGGAATTTCTCTAGGCAGAAGGAAAATATTACCAAAGGAAATCTGGATCACACAAAAGAATGAAAAGCACTGAAATGGCAATACGTGGGCAAATGTAAAAGCCTTTTCTTATTTAAAAAGTATCTTTAAAAGATTCCTATCCTACAGTCCAGCCCTTTCACTCCTAGGTATTTACCCAAGAAAAATGAAAATATACATCTACACAAATACCTGCTCGTGAATGTTCATAGCAGCTTTATTTGCTCCAATCAGAAACTGGAAAATTTCCAAATGTTCATCAGAATTTAATGGATATTTTGTAGATATCAATACAAAGGAACAGTATTATAAACAAGAAAAAACTATTGATACACATAAACATATAGATGAATCTCAAATAACTATACTGGAAAAAGCTAGATCAAAACAAAAATGTATATTCTATGGTTTCATATATAAAATTCTAGAAAATGCATATTAATCTGTAGGGATAAAAAGCAGATCAGCAGTTTCTAGGAAATAGGACAAAAGAGGGTAGAGAGGGATGGATTACAAATGGGCACGATTGGGGAGATGATAGATATGAGATTTTTTTTTTTTTTTTTTGAGTTGGAGTCTCACTCTGTCGCTCAGTCTGGAGTGCAGTGGCCGCTCCTGGCCACCACAGCCTCACCTGCTGCACTCCGGCGATCCTTCTGCCTCACCCCTCCGAGTAGCTGGAACTACAGGCGCGCACTACCACGCCCGGCTAATTTTTTGATTTATTGTAGAGATAAGGTCTCGCCAAGTTGCCCAGATGGGTCTCGAACCCGCGGGCTCAGGCAATCCACTCACCTCGGCCTCCCAAAGCGCTGGGATTGTAGGCAGAGCCACCGAGCTCGGCCTATATGAGATATTTTAATTGTGGTGGTGGCTCCACACTTGTATACAGATGGCAAAGTTCATCACATTGTATATTTTAAATAGGTTTGGCCAGGCTCAGTAGCTCAGCCTGTCCTGGGTTCGTGGGTTCGAGACTAACTCGGGCAACTCGGCGAGACCTCATCTCCACAATAAATCAAAAATTAGCTGGGCATGGTAGTGTGTGCCTGTAATTCTGGCTACTTGGAAGGCTGAGGCAAAAGGATACCCAGAGCCCAGCAGGTCGACACTGGGGTGGCCGGGAGCATGCCCCTGCACTCCGGCCTGGGCGACGGAGTGAGACTTCGACTCAAAAAAAAAACTATGCCAAGCACACCATGCCTTGACTCCAGTTCTTTCCAGTTACCTAAATATTGCTCTTCCTCACTCCTTACTCATTCACGAAACGTCTCTATCAGCTCTAATCCACTAGGAGTCCTTCCTTCTCTCCTGTGCCACAGCATTTAGCATCTGTATTGAGTTACCTTGCTTGTACACATCCCATCTGCCCAATTACATCTCAAGCTCCTCATTCATTCGATAAATATAAAGCAGCTACTTCAGGCCAAACTTTGTTCTAGGCACTGAGGATACAGTGGTGAAGCAGAAAGACAGGGTACCTGCCATCAGGGAGCTTAGTTTTCAGTGGATGAAGACATAAAAGTAAGTACAATATTTCATATATTAATAAACATTTTGGGGAAATGATAAAGCATAGGGAAAGACTGGGTGGGGTGGGAGCTACTTTATAAGCAGGATAGTCAGTGGAAGCCTCTTTCACAAGGTATGTTTAACAGAGACTTGGATGAGAAGAGGAACCAGCCAGAAGGTCATGGAAAAGAGCACTTCAGCCAAAGAGCACAACAAATGCAGAGACCCAGTTTCAGGAATAGAAATAGGTAGTGTGTGGGCTGGGCGCAGAAGCTTAAGCCTGTAATCCCAGCACTTTGGGAGGCTGAAGCGAGAGGATTGCCTGAGCCCACAGGTTCAAAGCCAGCCAGGGCAACCTGGCAAGATCTCATTTCTACAATAAATCAAAAAACTAGCTGGACGTGGTAGTACATGCCTGTAGTTCCAGCTACTTGGAAGGCTGAGGCAGAAGGATTGCCTAAGCCCAGTAGGTTAAGGCTGCGTTGGCCGTGAGCATGCCACTGTCCTCCAGCCTGGGCAACAGAGTGAGACGCCAACTCAAAAAAAAAAAAAAAAAATTAGCCAAGGTGTGGTGGTGTACACCTATAGTTTCAACTACTCAGGAGGATAAGATGGAAGAGCTCAGGAGGTCGAGACTGCAGTGAGCCATGATCATCGTGCCACTGCACTCTATCCTCGTGACAGAGACCCAAACGCAAAAAAAGAAGGGGCTTACTTAGATTCTATGGGTAACCAATAGTCTATACCTTCTCATAATTTAAGGGCAGGCAATAAAAAAATATTTGAGTAGCATTACCATTTACATATTTTAAAATGCCCACAGTTACTTTTTGATTCCAGTCATCTTACTGATGATTACTGGATGGCATCAATATTCCTTTCATTCCTTCAATAAACACTTCTTTAGTGCTGTCACCTAGCCTGGGCAACTGCTCACCCCTTTAATGAAGGTGGGTTTGTCCTTTACGCCAAAGTTCCAGAGCATGACATCTCCCCCTTTGGAACCCACAGCCACGGTGCTAGGGTGAGTTGGGTGCCACGCCAAGGATGTTGCCCTCCTGTCAAAGGGGGCGGCCTTTTGGAATATCCGGTAAGTATCCAGAGAGCGCACAAAGGACTGCTGAAGACTCTAACACAGAGAGAGAAGAATTCAGTTAAATTAAAGCCCAAGTCCTGGGTAAACTGCCAATCTCTGCCTCCTTCATAGATAAGCCTTAGGGTCCATTCATCCCACCAAAGGAAAACTAACTGCCTGGCCCCATGCACGAAAATATTTGCAATGTACAAGAACTAATCTTGGAAAGCAAAGGAGCAGAGAGCATTCCAGCTGGGATGTTTACAACATACAACTTTTTTACCTGGCTGAGTGCCCAGCAGGCCAGTCACCACAGTCTGGGTGATCTGACCACTCTGACAAACTGCAGAAAACCAAGCCTTCATCTAATTTTGGAGTATTCTATAGTAAAAAGGCATATGCAAACCCTTGAGCACTTCAGGCAAAAAATGCCTTACCTGCTGTAGTGATGGCCAGGCAGTCTCGCCCAGCTTGTGCTGGTGGAGAGCTCTGACGAGGTTGCGGCATAGTGGCGGGATCTCCAGGCTGGTCAACCCCACCCAAAGGCAGTCTGAGTCACATTTTCTGCTAGAACCTGCCAAGCAGAACACACATTTTCCCCTCTGATCTCACAAAAGATTCTTCTGCAGAAATCCCCAAAAGTAAGACTTTGTTTCATTCTGCATAGCCAATCTGTTTCATCACTTCCCAAAGCCTTTTCATGAACTGCTTCGTCTCACCCAAAACTAGAAATCACAAGTAGGGATTCAGCCCCTTCCCCAAAACACTCCCCAAACAGCAACTCTGAAGTGAAACTAAATACGATCTTGCAGGGTTCCTGATCGTGAAGTCAAAGAAACACACAAGAATAAAGTACACTGCAGAACCCTTCCCAGTTTGGGCTGCAAAATTGGAGATGGGATTGGGTGAGAATTTTTAAAATCACATAATGCACAATAAAAAGATCTTAGGGCCGCATAGTAGAAGTGACAGCTTAGAAAAAGAAGGAAGAGGAAGGTCTGGAATCGCTCTAAATTCACTATGGAGTGGTAAACCACATTAGACTAGGAATAAAGCAACTCTGGATCACCAAACTATATCTGAGGACTCAATCTCTATGGGTTCGACCTGTTGACAATCGATTTTCTTCTCATGAGCAAAAACTCCTTGGTCAGCAAGCCCCAGGTTTTGAATACCCCTTCTGCTCCTCCTGTTCCTGGGGCGTAACACAATCTCGGAGATCTTCGGGGTGTCTGGGCGCTTCTTGGGAGCCATCGCGTCCTCCGTGCGAAAGGGTCCCGTGCCCTATGCCGAGATCATGAAGCCCTGAGAAGCCCCAGGGGAGAACGAGGCGGGGACTAGGCAACTTCAGGGCCCCAGTAAACCTCAGAGAACCAGCAATCAAAGGGAGGGATCTCACAGCTGAAATCAGGGACATGCAGGTCCCAAACGTGACGATCGAAACACAGCCCACACAGCGCCAGGAAAGTTAGGGTTATTTTAAGCAGTCCTAAGTGTGAGAGACAGCCTGATCCCAAACAGTCCGTGTGACTGTGGTTAGGGAGCTCGTCAGTTTCTTCCAGCCACCTGGGGGCAGGGGCGGTTTAAGCCTAAACTCTCAGGTGTCAAGAGGACCTGCAGACAAAAAGCCCAGCCTGGGGCACCGGTGACCTGGGGCAGCCTCGGGAAGCTGGGAGTACCCATCTTCCTCTCCGGCCTCCTGCGTGAACACCCCAATGGCGGAAAAATTAAAGCAGCAGGCACAGGCAGTACCGGAGCCATTCGCACAGAGCTTCTTGGCCTCGCGCTCCAGCTCCCGGGGACTTCTGCTCCTCTTGTTCCTGGGGCGTAACACAATCTCGGAGGTCTTCTGGGTTTCTGGGCGCTTCTTGGGCGCCATCGCGTCCGCCGTGCGAAGGGATACCGTGCCCTACGCCGAGATCATGGAGGGAGAACTGAGAAGCCCCAGGGGAGAACGAGGCGGGGACTAGGCAACTTCAGGGCCGCAGGTAGCCCGGCGAAGCCAACTTCCCGCCAAACATGCCCAGGGCTTGTTCAAACCTGCATCGAGCTCCAGCCCC